GGGGTCTCGCTTGGCTTGGACACCTGTTTGGGAGGAGATCAGGTGATAGTAAGAGGAGTGGGCTTTTAGGATTTAATCCCTTTGTCCTGCTGTTTCCCTACACCCCCTACCCCTGCATGGGCTCTGCAGACAGGAGATAGAGAACTGGCCGTGATGGGCATGTCACATTTGCTGTCCTGAGCCCACCACTCCGTCAGCTTGTCTGGTCCTCTGAGCTCCACTGTAGAAGCTGCCCTCGGGACGTGTGTCTGGTTTCCTCTTGGGTTGCTTTCTCTTCTACTTGCCAGGTCGTGTGTCTTACCTGACGTTAGGTGGTCTTCCCCTCAGCAGAACGAGTCCACCCAGGGCCATCCCAAGCAGAGTCCTCCCCTCCACTCTCTTCCCATAGTGCCGCCAAGTCCAAACCGATCATCGCGGAGCCCGAGATCCACGGTGGGCAGCCACTGGACGGGGTGACTGGCTTCCTGGTACTGATGTCCGAGGGGCTCTACAAGGCCCTGGAGGCAGCCCATGGGCCTGGGCAGGCCAACCAGGTGAGCTGGGCCTGCCAGCCTGCAGGCAGTGGCCCTGGGGACCTGGCCTCCTGCTCCACTCAGGAGGCCTCGGGGCTCAGGGATCCTCAAGTGCTGAGTTCAAAGCTGGCGTGCGCTCCCCACACTCATCCTCCCAAACAGCTTCATGTGTTCTGGGCTTGAATCAGCGCCAGGCTTGGAACCAGGGCTGGAAGGGAGGTGAGGTGGTGGAGACTTTCCGTGGGCCCAGCACTGCTCTGGGGACCACCCAAGAAGGCTCCTGAGCCCAAGAGGAGAGTCAGGAAGGCTGCCTACAAGGCTGAGTAGGGGTGAGAGTCTACGAGCCCTGGCTGCACCACTTCCAGGCCAGGGGCCTCAGGACGGGCATTCTCCTCCGTGAGCTGCAGAGAGCTTCCCATTTGTCCCCATTTCTCAGATGAGGCCACCAGCATCTGCCTTGGCGGGGTCGTGGGGAGGGGGGTGACAGAGGAAGGTCCTCGGCCGGGTCTGAGCGTGTCTGAGCGTGTGCGTCTGACACGGCACTAAAGCCTGACGGGGGAGGGGCTCAGCCCTCCTCTCTGTAGTTCTTGAAGGAAGAGATCCTTTTCTGGTGTGTCCTTTTTGATGACACATTGTGAGAAAGAAGCCTTGTGTGCCTCACTGTCCTCTGACCTGTGTTCAGACTTCTTTTCTTGTTCCTTCATTCTCTGAGGTAGCCTTGTCACGTGAAGGCAAGGGCTCATGGCCATGTAGAGTTAGGCGCCTGGGCCCAGAGTTCAGGGCCTTGCCTGGGGGACGTGGCTGGTTAGCGATGGCACTGAGCGGAGCACCACTCCCAGAACAGAGTCGAGGTGGTTTCCTGTCACCTGCCCCCGCCCTCCTGCCGCCCCCCAGACTGTCCTTAGCGTCATGGAGAGAGGGTTTTGTGTTTGTGCTTTTCATCATTGTGACTTTATGGGGAAAGGGAACCTTCATGATGGAATCATCTAGTGGCTTCTACTAAGGTCTACAATATACTGGGCGGGGCACTTCTCTGAGGGTAGGAACCTGTCTTCGTTCATTCTCGTATCCCCAGCTCCTGACAAAACGCTTGGCACATAGAATCTACAGTAAGTTTGTTCCAGGACAGAAGCTTAACACTAAGGATAATTTATACTTGGCCTTTCAGTGCACAAAGCACTTTCCTGTCCATTGTGTTGTTTAATCCTCTTACTAACCCAGTCAGGTGGGTATTATCCCCATTTTAGAGACGAGGAAGCCAACATTCAGAGAGTTCACTGTGTCACACAACTTTTCTAATGAGAAAGTTCCAGAAAAATGATCCTGATTACCTTGAAAAGCTCAGGTTGCAGGCTTGGCTGGCAGGACTTCCTTCACCTGCTTGACCTGTGAGCCCTCAGTATCCTGTCGAGGGCTCTGGAATGCAGCCGAGGCCCCCTGGCCACCCTGACCTCACTGGGCATCTGCTGTCCCGCCTCCCCCAGGAGATTGCGGCAATGATTGACACCGAGTTTGCCAAGCAGACTTCCCTGGACGCTGTGGCCCAGGCCGTGGTAGACCGCGTGAAGCGCATCCATGGCGACACCTTTGCCAGCGGTGGGGAGCGCGCCAAGTTCTGCCCGCGGCATGAGGACATGACCCTGCTGGTGAGGAACTTTGGCTACCCGCTGGGCGAAATGAGCCAGTCCGCACCGACCCCGTCCCCAGGTACGCGTGCTGGGGCAGGTAGCCACCAGGGGACTCCACCAGGCTGCAGGCACCAAGTGGTGGAGGCACTGGTCTTCCATGCCTGGGCCAGGGTGGGGCTGGGAGGACTGGGGGTGAGTGGTTCCAGTCCCTGCTCAGACTGTCAGCCCCTCTGAGCTGCGTTTTCTGTCTGTACAATGAGGCTGCCACCTACCCTGACACCGACCCACCTGAGCACATCAGGAACCACTGGCCACACAGCGGGGTGGGCCCCGGCCGAGGGCCTTCTCAGTGCCTGGTCCTCAGCAGCCCTGAGCTAGGCTGGTTCCCCCACATTACACAAGGCGACCTGGACGGGGTTAGGCCTCTGGACAGGTGGTCAGGCCCCACAGCCTAGGGGGCTCTGTCCCTGGGCCACAGTGGGAAAAGGAGGTGAGAGGTTTACTTACTTCCTTTTTATTCTAAAACCTAGTTGCTCACAGAGAGAGGTGATGGTCCTCCCTCCCGGCACCACCTGGGCCACCTCCCGTTCCTCAGGCTGCCTCTCTCGTCTTAAGCAAACCTGAGCACACGAGTGTCTGCGCGCGGCTGGTTCTTCCCCAGACCCCGGCGTGCTGGAGCTTCTCTGCCTTGTTGTTACCCTGTTTACATTGGGTCAACTCAGCCAGGAGCAGGCGTACGTGCTCGCTGGACTAAAGGCCCCAAGGGAGGCTGGGCAGTGGCCCTTCCGTGAGCCACTCATGCCCTTGAGTCAGTCACTGCTCTGAGCACCAGGGGAAGGAGACTGCTGCCTGGCCTGGAAATTTCCAGCAAGGATCCTCCTGAAAAGTCCCAATGGGCAGAGAGCCAAGCTCGGGCCAGGGGAGCGAGGCAGGCCCTGGCGCAGCCCTGGTCCCGGTGTGCCTGGTGCCTACCCCGTCCTCTCTCCTGGAGTTGCAGGAGGCCGCGTGTGCCCCGTGTCCGTGCCCTACTCCAGCGCTCAGAGCACCAGCAAGACCAGTGTGACGCTGTCCCTCGTCATGCCTTCTCAGGGCCAGATGGTCAATGGGGCCCACAGCGCATCCACCCTGGATGAGGCCACGCCCACGCTCACCAAGTAAGCCCCACCTGCTCTGGCCTCTCAGGCCTGCTTCCTGTGTCCCCGGGGACAGACAGCTCTTGGCGCCTGGACAGAAGTGGCATCAAGGGCCCTGTGGCTGAGAAACCTCAACGGGAGCCCTGGGGTCTGGCACCTCGAGTTGCCACCCTCCATTCTTAGTGAGGGAGGTCCGCAGAGAGAGGAGGCAGCACTGCTGGTTCCAGCAGCTCAGGAAGCCGGCCCTGGGGTGGGGTGGGGACTGGGGGGCAGATGAAGGTCACTGGGCCAGTTGTTGGGTGCGGTGGAGTCCGCGTGGACTCGTAGCAGCCCCACATCACTGCCACGGAGGGTTTCTAAGCTGTTGTCTTTAGGGGATCAGCTAAGGGATCAGCAGGTCTGCTCGTGGAGCCGAGTGGGTTGGAACACCAAACTTCTCGTAGCGGCCAAGCTTAACCAGCGAACCGCTTGGACTCCCCGACGGGCCTGCTGTGCTGGGGGTCATTTCTGACTCATGGTACGCAGCCCTGCCTTACAGTACAGCTGCCCCGTGGCTCCTGGTGACTGTTCGTTTAGTGGGAAGGCCCCCTTGTTTTGTTTCTCCCTGCATTTGGGAGTGTGTGCTTAGGAGGTCTGCCCCATGGCGACCTCGCTTGAGGGACATTGTCTGGGCTTGTCCTGGCTTTTCGGAGTCAGGGCTTTCCGACTAAAACATCCCGTTTGGCTCTGAAATTCCCTGCTTAGACAAGAGTTCTTAGTTTAAGGCTTTGGCTTTGGGCGGGGAGGCAGCAGGGGGTCTGGAGCGTGGCTGGGACAGGCAGGCCCCCTCCAGCTGCAGACCTGCCTGGCAGCCCTGGAGTCCCCCGCCCCTCCCTTGGGTGGAATGTGTGCCCCCCACCCCCACCCCAGGCCAGGGGGTGGAGTCTGGTTTCTGCATTCCGGGCCTGCACGGAATAATAGAGATGCCACACCCAGCCCCCTCCGAGGATGGAGCCCGGGCAGGATGCAGCCAATCGGAAGCCCCGTCGGGGAGGGAGTGGCCGTGTTTTCCTCAGCATCGCCAGGGGGCCTTCCTGTCTCCCTGCCCCCATGGTTGTGTTGGCTGCTGCTCTGGCTGCCTTGGGCTGAGGGGTCGGCTGGGCAGCTGAGGGTCACGGGCACCTCGAGCACAATGAAGTAGCCTCTCAACCCTACAGGGCTGCCCAGAGGAAAACACCAGCTGTGTCCACAAAGGCAAAGGTCCATAGCTGCGGTCAGAGGCAGGGAGGCCGGCCAGCCGGCTCTGCCGCCTGGGCCCTGAACAGCTTCCCCCCAACCCTATCTAGCAATAGAGCGTTTGCCTCACAGGAGCTGAGCCCTGTGCTAGGTGCTGGGTTGTTCTTGTTATTTGCTGTCGAGTCGGACCTGACTCATAGCGACCCCTCCTTGGGTTTCCGAGGCAGTATCACTTGCCCCATCTTCCTTCCGAGGAGTGGCTGGTGGGTTTGAACCGCCAGCCTTCTGGTTAGCAGTCAAGTGCCTTAGGCACTATGCTACCAGAGCTCCCAGGTGCTGGGTTAGCAGAGGGCAATTCAATTGTTACCACCCTGGGACAGGTGTGGAGACCAGAATGAGGGCAGGGGCGAAGGAAGGTCTCTGGGAGAGGTGACCTTGCCCTCCTTGACAAGGCGGGTTTGGGTTGGAATGGACCGGAATGGTGGCCTTTAGCTCGGGGGGGGGCCCCGCTTCCTGTCCGTGGAGCTTCCGGTCTGTAGAGCTTCCTGTGGCGATGAAATGTCCCCAGGCTTGAGCAGCTCCCGCCGAGGTGAGCGCGCCGAGCTTTCCTTTCAGTTCATCAGCAGCTGCGTGTGCCCAGCTTGTCAACAGTACCTTTGACCTTCGTTCTGCCCTTAAGAACATCTGGGCAGGCCAGCTCCTGCGGTCAGCGTTGTGGTCACCTGTGGTCACAGGGGCTGGGTCACAGAGGGGCTTGGGGAAGCCTTGGCTCAGCAGCTGACTCCGCCCCCTGGTCCCCGCAGCCAGAGCCCAACCCTGACCCTGCAGTCCACCACCACGCACACCCAGAGCAGCAGCTCCAGCTCCGACGGCGGCCTCTTCCGCTCCCGGCCGGCCCACTCGCTCCCGCCAGGCGAGGACGGCCGTGTTGAGCCCTACGTGGACTTCGCTGAGTTTTACCGCCTCTGGAGTGTGGACCACGGCGAGCAGAGCGTGATGACGGCGCCGTAGCTCTGGCCACAGCGTGCAGCCTTCCCCGGGAGGCTCTGGGGCAGGAGGGCTTTTGGCTTCCCTGGTACTCCACGGTACACAACACCAACAACAGCAGTGATACTTGTTTCTGTCATCGGGGCCCCAGTCTCAGGCTGCCCTGGACGGCGACCCCACAGCTCTGAGCGTGGAGGAGAGTGTGCGGAGGCTGGAGTGCCAACGACCCGCTGTATGAACCTTGCCAGTCGACGGGAGGGGGAGGCCGGCCTCCGCTCAGGGCCGCCCCAGCCGGACCATCATCATTCCTCCCAGGAGGGGCACAGGGTCGCCACTGCACCGGCCACGAGCCCCGCCAGTGGTTGCTTCCACCCAAGCAGACCCAGAGCCCCCACTGCACAGGGACTCTCCTTGACCCCACCTGCTACAGGTTCGGGGGCGCTGCCTTCTCAAGCCCCCAACTGCCTGGGAGTGGCCTGGGGCTGGGCCCCCTCCTCACCCCATCGCCGGCACTCAGCCTCGTGCCCCCAATCCAGGGTGAATCCTGGGCTGGCACCTGCACGTCACAGCCGCCCCCGTCCCCGGGTTTTCAGCAGTCAACCTGGAAGCATGGGGGGGGGGCCTGGGGTGGCAGCAGGGGGCGGGGGCAGGTGGAAAGACCGACAGGGACTGGCCTGGGGAGCACTAATGGTTCCTGGAGCCCTCAGAAGAGTGGGTGGCGGGCCTAAGCTTCCCCGAGGTGGGGCTCAGGAGAGGGACCTGCCCCACACCAAGCTGGGGCAGGAGGTGGGGCGGCCCCGGCCAGGCCGGTCGCGCCTCCTGCTTCCTTAGGAGCACTGGGCGGCCACAGGCCGGGAGTACCTAAGACACCCATCCTGTCCACTTCCTTCTGGCACCCGATCCCAGCAGGAGGTGATGGGCCAGACTAGGGGCGGCAGAGGAGCTCTGTGCAGGGGTGTCCTGATGGGAGACGGCTCCTGAGGCACCCCGGCCCCGTGGCAGACCCAGGACCTGGGTCAGGGCCTATTTTCCCAGCCACTTAGGGGCGCACCCGCTCAGCCAGGCCCTGGGGGGCTCATCCTGCGTGATCTCTGCCTGGAGGCCCCCTTTCAGAGGGGGAAGGAGGCTGGCCCTCCCCTGCCCCTGTGCCACCACGCCCCAGACCAAGCTCCCTGGGGCCTGGCCGGTGGCCGGGCGGCCTCCAGTGGCTGGGTCTCACAGGGAAAGGCAGTCCCAGCCCCTGCGGCAGTACCAGCGGGAGGTGGGGCACCTAGAGAGACCGCCTCAGGACCCAGCACTGCAGCCACGCACGACGGGGGAGGTGGGATGCCTAGGGAGACCACCGAGCAGGCAGGGGGAAAACTGCATCTGGCAGAGTCCGGGACCCCTCTCCGCCCTCCGCCCCAGGCGTCCCTGTTCTGCAGGTGGTCCTGTTGAAAGTCTCAGCCACAAGGGCTTGGGGCAAAGGGAGTTCTCCAAGACCCGTCCCGTCCCGACGAGCATGGTGATGGTGATGGTGTTGGTCACTTTCAGTGCAGTCCAGGAAGACTCCACGGTGGTGTTAGGTGTCATTCCATGGTGCTGCTGGCTGGGGGCATAGAGGAGCCTCTCATCATCTAGGTGGGGGTGGGGTGGCTCTCAGAGGCTACGATACCGGGTCACCAGGCTGGGGTGGAGCAGAGCCAGGAGTTGGAGCCAGGCCCAGCTGATTATGGAGAGGGGAGCTTTCCCTCCTCCCGGCCCTGGTGGGCAAGGCGGGGCTCAGCACCCCCACTTGCCACCCACCAGCCCCGTGAGTGCGTGCGGGGTCGCAGCTCCCGGGGAAGAGCCCTGGCCCTGTCGCCGGGGGAGGACGCTTGTTGAGTGTTCCCTTCATTGTGGTTTCATTCTGGTAAAGAGTATTCTCTAAACGCTGGTCCACCGAGTGCCTCTTCCTGCTTGCTTGACGCACAAACGCATCCCTCCAGCGAGCATCCACTGCTCAAACGGAAACAGTGCCACAGGCAGACCCTGCTCCCCGGTGCCGCGGTCGCTGGCACCCGGGCGCTGCCCTTGGCCAGCGAGCTCCCCCGCAGTGCTTCTTTTCAGCACCCGTGTGGCCCCTGTGTCCTCAGAGGCCTGGCGTGGGACTGCTGGCCCTGAGCACGTCCAGAGCCTTCACTCCAGCCCACCCTGTAACTGAGTGATAGCTCGGAGATTTCAGGTGTAGTCCGGGTCACAGGTGGTCACCTGCTTTGTCCCAGGTATGTGTGGAGGGGCATGTTCTGGTTACCCAGTGCCACTCTGACCGGAATATACCACCAGTGGGACGCTTGAACAAACAGGAGTTTATTCTCTTACAGTTTGGAGGCTTTAAGTCCAAGTTCAAAGTGCCAAGCTCTAGGAGCTGGGTGAAAGCCCCTCGAACTTGGGCTTCAGCTCTGCCTCCTGCTCCTGGCCCACTGGAACTAGAGGCTTTTCTTCACTCAGACAGCTGCTGGCTGGTGAGACTGAGAAGCCCATCGTTGACAAGTAAAAAGGCACAGTGCCAGTGTTCCCAAACCACACAGTAGGCCATTAATTCAAGTCCATTAAAAGTCCCGCAGAGCATGGCAGGCTGCTGAATGACACAGCTACATGCAAGGTTCAAGCGTGCCATAAGCTGGAGACCTTTCCCAAGGCTGCTGCTTGTATACAGGGAGAAGACCACATCCCTAAGGCAGCTACTCGACTGCTCATGCTAGATTCCGCCATGGAGTTGATTGTCAGTCTCATCATGGGGAATACTATACCCAGCTACCCAGCCACTCAACCAGGCCCAGCCAAGTTGACACACAAACTTAACTACCACAGGGCACTGTCTTATGGGCCTTGTGTCCTGTCCTCAGCCTTGGTGACATTTAGCTCTGCTTGAGTCTGCCTTCTGTGGGCCAGTGTGGTGAGAACACTATAGCAGCCCCTGGTTCCCTTTAGTGGAGCAGAAAGGGGGAAAGCTTGAGAGTCCTTTAGGACCCGAATGGGGCCAAGAGTCAGGGCAGCAGGAAACAAGCCTACACCTCCAGGCAAAGCTGTGGCCCTGGGTGAGTCACTGCCCCCCCTGAGTCCTTTGCCCTGGAGGTATCTGACGGCCGGGTGGGGGCCCCTCCCTGTTTTCACCACTACCCACAGCTTCGGAGGAAGGCACTCAGGTTCCCTCCCTGCTGACCCCTAGGACACCTGGCCTCCTGGGACTGGACTTGGGCACAGGCTTGGCTGAGGCCCTGGCCTGGGTCAGACCAGACCGGGCAGGGCAGAGGTGGGAAGGGTGTCCAGCTGCATCCTGGGACCAGTCCCCACGGGAGCCGGTCACATGGGTTTCCAGTGCTCCTGTCTGGTCCTCTAGCTCCCTCTGAGCTGGCTGCAGGGCTGAGCCCCAGAGCAGCCTATCCTTGGGGTGTTCTGACCCCGGAGCAGCTCACGTGGGGAAAGGACCGGCGTCTTCTCTGCGTGGCTGCATCCCTCCTGTGACTCGGGTTTCACGGCAGATTATCTCCTGCGAGAGACCTGCCCAGGACCCCAGCCTGCCAGCCACACTCTCTGCTTTATTTCCTTTATAGAGTCTCAATGTGTAGTATTGTGTGCTCATTCACTCGTGTGGTTGTCTGTCTCTCACCCACTAACATGTCCACTCCAGTGCCCCCAGCTCCAAAATCAACCCTTCAAATATATGTTGAATGACTGAGTAGCTGTGTGACCTTGGGCACATTACTTGCCCATGCTCAGCCTGTTTCTTCATCTGTAAAACAAGGATGTGGCACACCTTTTTATCAATAAGATCGCCTGCTCTGTCTGATAAAAATCGAAGATGTCACTTTGCTCTTTTTAAGTGTGCCTGACCCAAGCCATGTTCTGTCCAGTCACCCCATATGCATGCGAAAGCTGGGCGGTGTGTTCCGATCATGTGCTGGCAGAGAACACTGACTGTACCATGGACTGGCTGCCAGAAGAACAGATAGCAGTCTTAGAAGGAATACGACCAGAGTGCTCCTGAGAAGTGAGTATAGCGAGAGTTCGGACCTGTCATCAGGAAAGACCCATTGCTAGAGAAGACCGTCGCGCTCAGTGGGGGCAGCGGGAGCACGGTGAGCTTGTCGAGGTGGATTGACACGACGAGGGCAGCAGTGGGCTCCACACAGCAACTATGGTGAAAATGGCGCAGGACCGGGCAGCATTTCAGTCTGTCACACGCGAGGCCGCCAGGAGTCAGAGCCAGTGGACAGCAACCAGTGACAACCACGTGTCAGTTACCATAACCCAGGGGCAAGATTTACACCTGCCCTGCAGCCGTGGACGCTGAGGCAGGGGAGGTTACAGGAGCCTTGGCTGAGAACCCCCTCTCCAGTACACACTCATGAGCTAGTGAAGGGTTCAGCCCTGATGGGTGGGCAGTGCTCCTGCTGGGCACAGGGAGGGTGGGTGGGTGTGGGCCTCCTCTCAGCCAAAGCCTGGATGAGACCACCACCCAGCTCCTGACACTCCCTCCCACAAGGTCGTCTTCCATGATCCCCCTGGGGCCCCTGGTTTGAAACCAGACGAGGACGGGGATCACTAACGATCCTGACGGGCTCATGTGAGCTTGTGCTTTGTTCCCACGTCGAGGTGATGTTGGCCCAGAGCACAGGCAGCCTCCTGGAGGACACACTATGCCTGGCAACACCGTGCCGGCTCTGAGCAACACTGCCACTGGCCCGTGGACTGCCAATCCTGCCTGTGGAGAACCCCCAGCACGGCAGAGGAGCCAGGCCGGGTGGGCCAGTGTCTAACTCGGCCACTCTTGCCCTAGTTCACAGGGGTCATGGGGTGGGCTAGGGCTGGCTCCAGGGTACCCAGGTCTGGTCTCCCAACTCTGTGACTGAGCTCCTGTCCTGGTCATTTGAGCAAAGCCATCTGTGGTCCAGGCACTACTGGGCTCAAGAGCCTTCCAGGATCCCAGGCTCCAACCTCCTGCCTGCCAGCACTTGCTGTGTTGGAGTCACCTGCACTCACTCACTCCCCTCCCCCGGCTCTGGAGTCCCCCACCTCCCCCAGGCCTCCACGCTGGACGAACCCGCTGGG